GTCCCCCGCCTCGGGGCACGATTCCGAGATGAGCTGGCACGACCGCCCGTCCGTGCCCAACTTGTAGTCCTCGATGCACCTGGGAAACCAGCACAGAGTCCACCATCAGCTGCAGCCCCCACCGGTGGGGACCGGGGCCACCAGGCTACCCCAGCAGGGACACTGGGAACAGAGGAGACCCTCCTATCCAACCCTACGAGCTCAGGGTGGCAGCGGCAAGGTACAGCAGCACCTCGGGGGTGTCGCTGTGGCCGGGGCGGTGATGGGTCGCTCACCCGCAGAACATGAGGATGTTGTAGAGCAGGGGCTCCTCGGGCAGGGGGACCATCTGCTGCAGGCACAGCTGCTCGCAGCCCCCGTTGAAGCCATCCGAGCAGTCCACGCCGACGTGACGGTCGTAGCAGCCTGTGCCGTCCTTCATGGGGCTCAGTCCCGTCGGGCACTGGCAGGGGTGGGGGAAGCGAGAGGTGAAGCCCGCGAGGAAGAAATCTGGCCCTGGGGCTGAGGGGAGGGCTCCAGAGCTGTTGTCCATTGGAAATCGCAGCCTGAGCGATGCTCGGGGGGCCGCGGGATGGATGGGATATCCCTCCTGCCCCGAAGCCTCTTTGCAGCCCTGGGGAGCACAGCCCCTGGGGTGGGAGCCCCTCAAGCCGCCCGCCACCATGGGAATGTGCTGGCATCAACCCCGTTCACCAGCACCCAGCTCCAGCGACCGCCAGAGCAATGTTGCCCTTTCCAAACCCACCGTCTGCCCCACGCTCACAGCCTCCCCACCCCGATGTTCCGCTCTGGTGGCATTGCAGCAGGACGCCCCAGCCCCACAAACCCCTCCGTTTCGGGGCACACGCTCTCCTTGCATAGCAAAGCAGCTGCGGTGGTGACAGGGGACACGCGTGAGTGATGTGGGACCTCCTGGAGAGCCAGCAAGCAGATGGGCTCTTGCTCCCTCGTGCGTCTGTGCGTGCAGCAAGGGCAGGGACAGAGGAGATGCCAGCCCGAAAACATCTCTTTCTCTGCAAAACCAACCCCAAAATGTCCATCCCGAGGTGATGGGAAGGGAGGAAGGATGGAACCCTTCCCCTTCCGCCCTCCCCCTCTTTGCTCACACCGAAGGAGATCTGCAGGTCCCCGGGGGCCACGCACCACGCAGCCCGTCGAGTCCAGCTTGCGGTCTGAGATGCAGCGGAAGTTCTTGCTGCAGCCCCCGTTGTCCCGGGAGCAGTCGCGGACAGGGCCGAAGGAGTCGAGGAGGACCTCCAGGCTGTCGAAGGAGGAGGAGGTCATCAGCTCTTCCCTGCGAGGAGGAGGAGGAGGAGGTGTGTCACTGCTCCGATGAGACATTGCGAACGCATGCGTGACCACGGCTGCTGCATGGGTTTTTCCGGAGCTCAGGTTTCCCTCGGGCTGAGAGCAAACTGAACGGCAGCCAAGCTTTTAGAGGGACGCAGGAGTTACTGAGATGATGAGAGCTACCTCCGTAGGCTCAGCTTTGCAGGCATTAAAGAGGGGCAGGTTAATGGACCTGCAAAATGCGGGGCGAGGGTCCCAGCTCTCATCAACCCCCACGTGCTTTGGGTTGGTCCTCTCGCTCCAGAGACCCACCGCCAGTTTATTTGCTGAAACGCCTCCTAAACGCCCTAGCCCCACCATCGCGCCTACCTGACCTCCACCGCGTCCTCCATCACCGTCATATCGGTCTTGCACTTGGCCGAGGGGTTGATGGCCAGCTCGGCTGGCGGGATGACGAAGCTCTTGCTCAGCGGCAGCCACATGCCTTCCCCCAGGGTGTAGGTGAACCTGCCAGGGAGAGCAGCAAAGGCTGGCATGGAGGGAAACGCTGAGCCCGCCGGGCTGCCTTTACCCAAAACCAAGCCCTTGAACCTCCCCCCTGCCCTGTAGGGAGGCCAGCCCGAGCAAAGGCAGATGGGCAGGGTGAAGCGGGGTGGCTCCTCCGAATGCATCCAAATGACCCCAAAAAGCACATTTAGGTAATTAAAAATAAGACAAGGCTTCTCTTTTCGGTAGAAATCCTCCTTCAGAGCCTAAATTTTGCTTTCATCACGGATGGAGAGGAGGAACCGGCTGCTGGGCATCCAGCAGCCCACATGGCAGCTGTGGTAGGACCTTCCCAGCCATGCTCTCATGTTCCCAGGAGGTGGCACAGGACAGCCACGCTCAGCCCTGCCAGCCGGGGGCCAAGCCTGCCTTTATGCCCTGAGTCATATTTTTGACCCCCAAAATGTACTGACCAGCTTGCCTTTACCACTTACCGAAAAATCTTGTCGGATGGCTGCTCGCCCAGCACCAAGTCGAAGCCTCGCTGGAAGATGGTGTACGGCCAAGGCCTGGAAGAGAAACCCAGGAGCATCACGCCAGCATCATGACTGCACCGCCCCTCACAGCCCGAAACGCTTCCCCCGCTTAGCCCCCAGTTCATGTGCAGAGGGGTCCTGGGATGAGTTAGCTCAAACCAAGCCAGGACAAGGTGATAAAATAGCCCCACAACCAAGATCTTAATTTTGGGGTTCCTACAACATCAGCTCCTCACCCCAGCCCCAACCCACCAACGGGGTGGTGTATCACATCCTTCATTTTGGGGTACGGCACGCTCCCGTCCCCCCCGCCCGTCCCGCATCAATGAGCCTCATGCTTCTGCACGCTTGGGTACCACCCGCCCGGCTCCCATTTTAGGGATTTGCGTCACAGCCATCGAACTCCAAAAAAAAAAAACCCCAAAAAGTAGCTGAACCCTCTCTCTGCGAGGCTTTTGCAAGGGGGCGCGTCGGGTCTGGGGGCGCAGCTTCACCAC